GCAACCCCCAAGTTGTACATAATTAAACTAACACATCTGAACTTTCTCCCTGGCACCTGATACTTTCCTTGTTACTAATTCATTTACTTGTTAATGTCTGACTCTACCTCCCTGCTATCCTCTACTCCACACCCAGAATGTGACATGAGAACAGGGGCTTCTTCTGCCTTGCCCCCATCATATCATCTATGCATAAAGAGAACCTGGTCCATTGTAGGTACTCAGAAAGTTATAGACTAAGTGATAAAATGGATGAATGATGTACTAGACTAGGGTTTCTCAACTTCAACACTATTGACAGTGTAGGCCAAATAGCTCTTTACAAATGCCAGGCTATTCCCTGGCATTGCAAGATATGTCACAGCATCACTGACCTCCATATCCACTGGATGCCAGTGGCACCCATCTCCCCCAGTCATGACAACCAAAAACTCTCCAAACATTGCCATATGGCCCCTGGGGGGTGCAAAATCACCCCAGTGGAGAACCATTCATTATACTGTGAGCTCCCAGATGGAAGGAACTGTATCCAAAGCCATCAGATACCCCTTAACTACATGTAGATGCTCAATAAATGTTTACTAAAGAGAGATTAGCGTTTCATAATCTGCTAAATATAGATCAAGAAATGTTCCAGAACTCATTGTCTCAATAGGATTTGGCCACTTACTACTTATGAGACCTTAAGTAATTGATTTAACTTCGCCAAGTCTCTGAATCCTCATCTGTTAAACAGAAACATCAAAAATTCCTACACTGTGACCCTGCTTGCTAAGCCATAAAGTACAATACAAATGTGCGATTAATTATTTATTGAGTTCCAAGCTGTGCATTTTTACTTCACCTCTTGCTAATAACTCTTGCCTGAAAAAAACTTCAAAAGAGAACATTTCCTCCTATTTGCCAAACCCCTGCTTCAGTGTTAACCTGACCCCCCTTCTCTCTAGAAGTTGGGAGCACTTCCTGAGTTTTGTAAAGTTCTGTCCCTTCTTCTCACCTTCTCCCATTTAAGTTCAGACTCACAGATGAGGTCTCTGTCTCAAACAGCTCTTCGGAAAAGGTCTGCCCTGGGCAACATTGTCACTGGGTTGTTTGTGATTCTTCTACTTCAGAAAAAGCAATTTCTACTGTAACTATCTCTCCTTCAGGCTCCATTGGTGTCTCAATCTTCCCTCAAGAAGCTTCCAGACAGAATTAATCTCTTCTTCCCACTGATACCATCTCGTTTTTACCTCCAGCATATTTCCAAGTCCACCAGAGGAATAGATGGACCTTCAATTCTAGCCAGGCTGTGAGTTCCTTGAGGAGGGGTTGGGGTCCTGGAGTTTGGGGATAAGGAGATTATAACAAGCTCCTCACCTCCCTCTGTCACCACATCCCAGAAGGAAAAAAAAAGTTAACTATTGCAAATATAAATTCCTAAGAATCATAAAAGTATATGAATCTGCTTTTTAGATTAGAAGACAAGTCATATTTCTGCGAATTCTGAAACAGAGTATAATTTACAGGATGGATTTATCAAAGAAAAAAAAAACCCAGAGGCACACACAAAGGCAAGCTATGAGCACCATCTCATAGAGATGTCAATTGTCAATCACAGTCTCATCAGCATATGCCCTTCCATTCCTGGCCTCATCCAAGGACATGGGTGAGGCCAACACTGGGAGAGCAAGGGCACCACTATCATTAACACACTTTCACACACACACGTAGATTTGTTGGCCCTGTTGCCTGTGTGTTACAGTCAATAATGATGTCCACATCTTTCATCTGTTTTAATCTCCTATTCTCTTGTCTATAAGGACAGAAGCCTTAGCAGCAACAACAGGCGAGGTCTGAGATGAATCTCCCTGCTTGAAGTCACTTAGACTGTGCTAGGATGAACCTGGGCTCACCCCATGGCCTCTAAACCACAGAATCCTTAACTCCAGCCCCTGAAGTTTGCTCTGGTCATTCCCTAGGCCTGGGCCCTCATTCCGTTCAATCCCTCCCTGAACCTGAGCTTTCTGAATGAAAACCCACACCCAAAGTACTTCATGCTGCTCTCCTTCCTGCTCAGGCCCTACTGCCCAGACTCCTAGAGTACTGCCAACCTCCTGGAACCTCCTACCATGGAGGTGTGGTGAGGAGAAACCTCACTTTCAGATTAAACCTCCCTGTCCAAATACACACCTGCACAAACACTTAAGAACTTGCCACATCAAGTCCTCACTTCAGCAGCACATATACTAAAATTGGAATGATACAGAGACAATTAGCATGGCCCTGAACAAGGATGACATGCAAATTCATGAAGTGTTCTATATTTTTTGCAGTGCCCCAGTGGGTGTCCTCACATCCTTTAGAAGCAATATAAGTCAAAACACAGTGTGTGGCCTCAATAGCAAAATCATGATTTGTCACAATCTAAAAAAATACAAAACTTGCCACATCCATTATACACTGAGGGTCAGATCCCCAGGCTGCCCCCTGGGCCAGTTTCTCCTGCCCATTGGTTTTCCAGCACCCACATGCTATGTCCCACTTTCTGTCCATCACCGGGCCTACACTGTTACAATCCCAACATGCTCTGTAGGTGAGCTCACATGAGCTAGGGCACATCCATCCAAGTCAAAGACCCCAACATGCTGTACATTTGTCCTCCAGCCAGTTCATGATAATAGACGGTACATTTGCCACCAGTAAAGAGAGTGGACATTTTTGCCCAGAAAATCATGTAGCATCTGATGATGAAATCTTGTACATAATCATGAAGAGGTTTGCTAGAATAAGGATCACAAACTCAAACACCTCCCAGTGTCAGGAAGATAAGTGGATGAATGGTGTGAGGCAGGGTCAGGAGTAAAACAATCTGGCCATACCCACTGGTAATGCACATCCACCGTATGGTTGACTTTATGTGACCAATTGGGACATCATGTTCTTTCCAGGAAGATAAAGGCACTGAGTTTTGCCTGGCATTTCCCAGAAACGCAGATATGGAGAGGTCCTCCACCTGTACAGGGACCTTGTGTCTCACTGTAAATGAAAGGGTTACTCCCGCCTAAGCCTTTTCTCAATCTGACCTCATATGGGAGGGAAATCAAGAGGCCTTCAGGTCGGCTCTGGAGTGATTTTTGGCAAGAGGAGGACCAAAGGAGGACAGGCTTTCTGCCAAACCCTGCTCTTGTGAAAAATCATTTAGCCCATTCTCACCAGACGTATAAAATCATCTGTAATAAATGTTTCCTGAAAATGTCAGGGGAATTTTTCCATTTTTACATGCTAAGGTTATAAGAGAGTCATTGAAGCACAGAATCAGTCATGCAAGCTCTGGAAACCGAATATCTGATCAAAAAAGAAAAGAAGTGCCCCCACAGCTCTGTTCCCTTCATCTAAGTTCCTTTCTAGTTGCTGCAAAGGTCAAAGATTAATTTCATAAATCTGTTTGATTTGTGGATATGAGATTGCTACAGAATCTAATTGCTTGGAAAAGATGATTTGATGGAGATATTCAGTAATAAGTGCAGCCTCAGTGATATCATCACTTCCACCCCCAGAAGAGTGCCTGGGAATCAGAATGTGGGTACCATACGGGCCTTGAAGTTCTTTGAAAGAGGAGGAGACTTACTCCTTTGAGGTTATGTAATTTATTTAGGGAAATGTAGCCAATTATGAGCAAAATGACTCTATATCCTGACAGTAGGGCCATTTTTCATTTCTATACGTCAGCAATCTTCAAACAGAGCTATATTCATATGAAGACCTCCCAACGCATATACAGGCACAAATAAAATCAATTTAGAGGAAACAACGTTCAGGTCCACAATTATCAAATGTGTATTCTTTTACATGATTGATCTGTATAAGAAAGCATCTTGAGTTAGCAAGCCACTTCTCCTTTCCAAGTCCCCTTCCCCAGTTTTCTCTCATTCTGAAAAAAATAAAAAAAGAGAGAGACACTTTACAGCCATACAAAGCATGGTACCCAAGGTACCAAACAAAAGAACAATTTAAAATTTTTATATCTATAGAGCCACTAATAGAAAAATATAGCTTCACCTCATATTTATCATCTAGAGAAGCATTTACAATAATATTTTAGTCTTTATTAAAGTGTATAGCATATACATATATATTATTTGGATCAATTGTGAATTACTAATAATTATAATGACAACACAATCTAAACAAAATTTGTTTTGCAACTTGGAGCCTTGGAGTTGTAAAAAATCATTGTTTTTCAATGTGGGAAATATTTTTGTTGCTGAAATTTTTTATAGGTTGATCAATAAAAGATCTTCAAACATTAAAATATGTTACAATAAGAGAAAATTCTGTGATTGGGGGGGAAATAAAAATGTGATTTTTTTAAGGTGAAAAGATGCGATACAGAATTGTTACCAGCATTGGGGTTCTTGGATTCCCCAAGATAGAAATGGAGAGAAAATGACAGAGAAATTTCCAGCCAGATTTTATTAAGCTTATGCTTGAGCACAAGGGAGGCAGCACAGAGGAAAAGAAAATCCTCTGAACTGGTTCAGGGGCTGGCTGTATTTGGCTGCTTTTCTAAGCCGGGAACAGGGTGGGCTTATGTGAAAAGGCTTGTGAAGGGTTCAGGAGTGGAATTTTCTATGTTAGGATGGGTTTACTTGCCCTTTCCAGCTGTGTTGCCTAGTAACTATGTTCACACCTTCACTACGTGGCAAGATGGCAGACTTCTCATTTCTGCCACCCTAGAAAGGATATATAAGGGTCAGACTTTGATCAAATTGCATGAGGGTCCGTAGTTTAACATCCACAGTAAGGGATAAAATCAGCTACCTCTATGTTTTTGAGTAGGGAGTGGAGAGGTGGTGATTTTTCTGAGGTCAGCTCATCTGGTGTTTCTTCTGACCACCTAGCCTTACCTTGGCTTCTTGTGCACCCAATATTCTTCATTCCTGGGCCCAAGTCCCTATGCCGTCTCAGAATTTGTAAATTTAAGTAAAAGCTGTTGATGTTTGTTCGTTTTTTTAAATTAGATGATAGTGGGTGTCAAAGACTATGGAATCTTTATGCCACTGGGTTAATTTAAAAGAGTGATGTATTATTTTATTTCAAATTTTTCAATAAGTATGTTTGAAGTTTTATCCTTTGCAATTATTTGAATTTATGAAGAAAAACTTACAGGTTAACTAAGAAAGAGGTAAGGGGGTACATAGTTTTTTTAAATACTTTGAGGGAAAAGGAGCAAAATTCTTTGAAGACAATTGCTTTTTACTTATTTTTTTGTGGGGGGGTGGGGGCAGTGAGCAGTGGACTAGGTGGTAAAGAAGAAAGAACTGTGGCCTGGGAGCTCTGTCCTGCTACTGGGCCAATAGGTCAGTCTGAGGAGTGTGTTTATAAGCAAACCACCAGATGCCTCACAAACCCATTCCTTCTTCCTGGAAATAGATCTAAACCACATTTCCAACACTCTGCATCTCAGTGTAAAAGTCTTTCCTGCTCATATAAATTTGTTTAAGTTTAACAAAGTTAAATACAACAGGTCCTCAAATAAAACCATTTCTTAATGTCATTGAGTCCAATATTCTTTCCTTACAACACTGATGAGATGCCATAGGAACTTAATTCTTGTTTATACCTATTAATCTATGGTAAAATTGGTTTTCCTAAACATTCAAAAACCTATCTGCGATGTTCAGTGAGGACTTACTGTAGATGTAAATTTTCCTTTAAGGAAAGGGCCTTCTCAGAGCCTCTGGTATGCTAATAATTAAAATCTCCATGTCCCCCAAATGATATGCTTATGGAGCCCTTTCCCTGAGTACATATACATCTGCAAACCCAGCTTGAGTTCTGAGCAGCCTCTGAAGATACCTGAGCTGCCTTCTCTCCAGGCCTTTGCTCATGCAGCTCCCTTCTGGGGAAGGCTGCTCCATCCTCTCAACTCCTCTCCCCGTGGGTCCAAAATGTCCCCATTCTTGAAGATTTCGCTCTTCACTTCTTTCTTGCAGCCTCACCTGGAGCCCTCCTCCCAGTGCCAATCTGAGCCTCTCTCTCTCTGCTTCCCACTGCTTCTCTATTACAGTCCTCCTCAGATCGTACCTTGTTTAATGCTGCCATCTGCATCTTATCTCCTATGCTAAATGGTAAAGTCTCTAAAAGCAAAAACCAAGTATCATTTCTTCTTTGTAGCTGCCTCCTCAAAATTATATCAGAGCATATACTCAATATTTTTTTTACTGTTAATGATTGACACTTCAAAGCATAAACCAACAAAGCTGAACTTCTAATGATCTGACTCACACATATGGTCTGGCTTTTCCATTTATTGGGTGACCCTAAAAAGTTTGCAGTATTCAATATATGCTGGTATGCTATGTCAAGGCCAAGTTTTCTTGAGCAATCACTGCCTTGGAATATACGTGAAAAAGATGTCATTGCCTCATTACTTTAGCTTAATATGTTTCTGGCTAAGAAGCAATTTCATGAATCACAAACCTCTTTCTTATGGCACCAGTAGCCACCATACACAATGTCCTGATGAAGAACTGTCATTTGAAGCAGCAACAAAGGCAAGATCAAATTCTGACCCATGCTGAGTTTTTGGAATGGTTGGGCTTTCTGCAAGCCAGGTTGACATTACGGAGAATGTTTATTCTGGCCCTGACCACCAAGTCTTCAAAAGGAGGAGCTCATATTTTCCCCTGCCCTTCCATCAGTGTAATGGTTTAACAAACGTCCTAATTCAATAACCCAGTTGGCATGTACTGAGCAGTAACTATATGCCCAGCACAACCACCTGTGCCTGCTAGCTGCTTTTTGAGAAGGGTAAGTCCAATGAAAAAGAGTCATATAAAGAGATATGCCAAAAACATAGAAATAAGTAAGAAAAAAAGAGAGATGCAAAGGGCCCATGTGGTAGAGGCTGTTACTTGTCTATAATAACCATTTCCCCTTCCTGATTGGAAACAACACCCCAATTTTATTGGGGGCAGAAATGAACTCAGCTAAAATTCCCAATTTCCTGACCTCCCCCTGTCAGTTAGGTGTGTCCATGAGACTAATGCAATGAATGGTTAGCAGAAATGTGAGGAGCTTCCAGAAGGATTTGAATTGTCCATTATAAGAAGCAGCAATACTTCCTACCAGGCATGAATATCATTCTGGAGTCTTACAGTGCTTTGAGGACCCCATGAGACAGGGAATGAGTTATAATTTCTGACATCATTGTCACTCACGTTTAATTGCCCATAGCCTGTCACATGGCCGTGCCTTATTCTGATGGAGTTGGGTAAGTGCAATTCTACCATGGCAAAGAATGGAATCAAAGTATTTATGAACAG